GCTTTGGCAGGGAATCAATATCACTGGACACAATACCATGGCTAGTAGTTCTACTTGGAAGTAAATCACTTCTTAACTAGACATTGCTGCCTGGATACAGTATACATGATTTTAACAGTAGTTGCATACATAGGACTTAATCCCTAGGTGTCTGGTGCACCTGACCTGCCTCTGCTTAAGGCCATATTTTGAAAGTTGCATTTTCCAAAGGGCCCCAAATGCAGGATAATTTCAAAAACTGTAATCTCATCAACATTGGGTCTAGCTATAAGTGCCTGCTTATGATACAGCATGAGCCAGGTGAAATAGCAGCCTTCTCGCATCCCACTGAGCATTTCATTCGCCCCTTGTACTGCAGGCTTGTGCATGAATGATGTTTCCAGCCTATACCTGCAGTTCTGGGTGTGTTTTGACTGCTTCTACAGGTTGTAGGCAATGCTCCTCAGGTGCTACCTATTGTAACGTTTGCCATTGTTGCTGAATACTTGTCACCCTTGTAGGAAAGGCACGGGGTGGGGGAAGAGAGCGAGGGTCCCCTTGGATCATGTAGATGAAATAAGGAGTGATTGTTTTTGGACAATGAGGCAGTAACATGCTGGATACAGGAGCACTTGGGCAGCTCCTGTTTCACCAGGGGCTTTGTGGGACTTACGTGCCCTGCTGGTACCCTCTGCTGAGTACCTGCCCCGGCCATGCAGGCTCACTCTGGACAGGAGGTGTAGGCACACTCCTGGAAAAGTGCAGCTCCCAAGTAGTTCTGAATCATTGTGAATATTTTGTTGTGATGACAGTAGTACCCCACACGGCTCTGCTCCAGAGCTTGCCCAATATGACGAGAAGCTGTTAAGTTATAAACACTCAGCTGTCCTGTGGTTGATGTGAGTGGCCCTGAGGCAAGATGTCTGTTGCCTGGTGCAGGCAGTACGACTGCACACTACGTTAAAAGAGGAGCCATGGGACTGTGCTGGCCATGGCCCTTCATCTCGAGACAGCTGGAATAATAATAGTAAGATATGTGTGCCTGTGTTGGTGAGACGTGAAAGTATGTAGTGGATACTCTTGCAAAATGTAGTGTGAATGTGGCTATTGTGCTCCAAAGAAGGCTGGGATTTCTCCAGTATGGATGTGACAGGGACATGCCTTCCAGCCTAGGCATTGACATGTTCATCTCAACAAAGTCAGTAAATATGTAGCCTAGGTAGAAATCTGTGCCTAAACTCCTACACAACAAGTCACAAAATCCATGTCTGGCTGCTTAGGTATGTCTGGTGATACATCTGTCCTAACTTTTATTTCCATGTAATGCTCCTTGAACACACTTGAGCAACGGTGGAGTTATATTAGTGGTCTCTCTTGAAATGGGACAAGTGTGTAGCCAAGCATGCAAAATTTGTGAAGCCAGAGAGCAATTAAGAAGAAGGGACCTGGGATGGTCCAGAGATCAGGCTTGACCCAAGAGAAAATGGAGAATGGGAAATACTGGATTTTGCTCTGTACTCTAGGGTCTACCTCTGCATTTTATTAAGAAAACCTGACCAGCCAGGCTGCCATCCTGAAATGTGCAAGATTTGGACTCAAACCTTCTTGGACTGAGAAATGTTTAGAATTTCTATATCCTTGACCAGTGCTCTAATAAAGCTTTAGGGCACAAAACATCTATATTACCAAAGTGCAAAAGGAGGCACTTCCTATTAAGATTTTTTTTAAGAGTCTTTGTTCTTAAGATGGAGGGAACGTTGGTAGAAGCAGGATAGTATGTAATTTGCTATCGTCTGTTCTTCAGGGATGAAGTAATAAAAATGTCAAACATGAGACGTTGATTAAAATACAGGTAAGGTGTAGCGAGGAACAAGGAATAAAATAAATCTGTTATCAAGAAATTATTCTCAAGAATTATTATCACGAATTAGAGTCCCATTTGAGCAAGGAGCTTAAGAGCTAGTGCCCATATAAATTTCACATGCATAGATGCTTCTACATAAATGATAGTTTTCAAAAAACGTGGCATGGGTCTATTACACTGCCCAGCTTTTAGTGGGAATGTTAGCCTAATGGGGGTTCTGTAACCTGATGTAATAAAAACAATGGATGAATGCTGCAACTCCAGGATACAAATTATGTAGGAACGGTAAAGTAGATTGTGCTAGTTTAGACATGATTTTAAAAAAGTTTACTGTCAAATACAGTAAATAACAATAAGGTTGTTGCCTGCTGAACTTAATAACAGGTATTACAAAAACTGTCTGGACTGAAACACTGTTCCTGCATAGAAAGAGTACACTGTTAGAGCAGTGCTACTAACCACTTTATTCGGAAGGTGACAGAGGTGTGCTAAGAAATACCAGAAACAGTAAGAGAGAAGAAAACTTAATAAGTGAGCGACATCAGTCATTTCTATAGAAACTGGAGGAGTGTTACCTCAGGGCTTGACACAGAAACTAAATTTGTAAACACTACAAATGACTGTTGCTTAGAGCAAGTAATCACAGACCCCATAGGAAGAGAAAGAACTGTTGGTCCCCTTCCAAGCAGCCACTCAAAAAGCCACTCTTCAATAGTGGCACAAGTTCAATGTCCAAAAGAATGTGCTATGCTAATGTATAAGTAAAAAAGGAACTATATAAAATGAATAAGTCTCCAAAAGGAAATTAAAAGGAGCAATTGAAAGGGTAGAAGCTTTCCAGGCACAAGGAGCTTCTTTAAAATCAATGTAGGGAAAACTCAGAACAGTACATATATAAGATATCCCCCAAAATGCCACCTGTAAGAAAACATCTTTTTGCAGCTCCCAACGCAATATTTTTAAGAAAAGCCAGTACCATCCTTTTTTAACCAAAGATGAGAAGGAAGCCTCCTAAAAAGTCTATGGAGCTGACTAGTAATGGAGATATGAAAGGACACCTTTTGCTCAAGGAATCTAATGACAGTAAAAAAATGAAGTGCTTGCTTGCAGTGGGGTTCATTACAGGGGAACCTACTGAAGGGTGAGTTGGAGGAATTGTCTCAGATCTAAGTTTAAAACAAATAATCCAAAAGAATAAGACTCATATCTGAAACAGCATTCAAACAGTATTCTACAGGGTCTCATAAATTGCAGTTGAAATTGAAGTTGCAAAACTACTAACTGTGGTGTGTGCTGAACTAGCTTGCTTGCAGTAGACATACTGGTAAATGATACACTAAGGAGAGTCAAAATGGCTTTTTGGTAGAGGGACATCATGCTTCTGATGATTCAGTCAACATCACTATGCTATTGTGTAAAAGATCCTTGATCTGCTCACTCCTGAATATTGTGTGCAGGACCCCCTATCTTACAAAAGAGTATAGTAAAAATGAAGAGGTATGTTCTTAATCTTAGAAAAAATAGGGGAGGTATGCTAGAAATCAATAAAATTGTGACTATTTTGGCAAAGGTGAGATGACAATGGATATTCTCTATTTTTTCTAAAGTAAGAACAAGGGGGGAACCCATCTGAACTATTTGGAAGCAGTTTATAAATCAAAACAAAGCAAATAAACATAGTTTAATTGTGTAACTCATTGCCAGAAGAAGTTTTGAAAACCAAAAGGATAAATAGATGCAAATAGTTGTTGTACAAATTCATGTAAGAAATGTCCAGAAACAGCTATTAAAGACAGTGATGTGCACATGGCTTTCAGTTCAGGAAATCCATAAGAACCAGGTCATTGGAACTTGGCAGCATATAGGGTAAAATAATCCATGGAAGTAGAATATTTAACTTCTTTCTTACTTTTCCTAAGCATCTGCTACTGATCCTATTAGGCACAGGAGAGTGGACTGGGCAGATCTTTGATCTGGTGTATTTTTATGTATAGATGACAAAATTTAATTGTTATTTTTTAGCCAAAATAATTAAATAACAATTTGTTCAGTACTGTGATTGATACTGCTCTTTATCTTCCAAAAATAGTGTCTTATTGCAAAATTGACAAACTGGACTCACATGAAAGTATCTAAAATACAAGTATAGTAGATACATTGGCAGAGTAGACATTGTCTTTTACCTGTTTATTAAAAAAAATATAGATGCAAAGCCAGATCCTAGCACATGGTGTTAATTGTGTATTCCCTACTTTAACTGATGTAAAAGGTTTTGCAAGAGAACTCTATGAGGGAATAACTCCCTGTTCCACCTATGGGCATAACACACCACATAGAGCCTCCATATGAACCAGAGATTGTGTTTTTTGGAATGCTTGTTCCTTGTGATGGGTAGTGGGACTATGCAAGGTAGCACCCAGAAAGGCATTCCTGGGCATTTTGTTATGCTAACAGGTATTGAGGTGTTGTGACTCACTTGTGCACCACTTTCAGAGCTTTTCAGAGCTGCTGGTGTTGAGCTTCTTTAGCAAAGCATGCATACTTCCAAGTGTGTTGAAAATCCAAAAACTGGAGACAGGCTGTAGAACAAGAGGCTTCTGTTGATACAATTAAATAATAAGTGAAATAAGTTCAAGGCACAGATTTCTAGGGTAAAAGAATCTGTTCTTCCTGCTGATGAAAACCAAGAAACCAGTCTTCCAAGACTACCCACCTCAGCAAAGCTGTTTTTCTTTTTATTCAATGCATTAGAAAACCAGGAAAATAAGTAGACATAAGAATGCATTTGGATTCCAGTGAACCTGCCTGGTACATCACTCTAGAAGCAAAATTCCCATTTATACATAGAATTTACAGAAAAGAAATTTGCTAAAACTGATCTAAAGCTGACATGATGAAATCCAAAAGGAAAAGGCTTTTACTGTGATTGTCAGAAATTCACGTTTCCCATTTTTCACTACGGAACATAAGAAATGAGTTGAACATGCTTTATATTTCCCACAACTAGCAATTTTCTGTCTTTGGAAAGTTTTAGAGGGAGGAGCTCAGAGGTGCTGTGGGAGGGACTAAAATTCATATTAAAGTTTTGGCATGAGAGGGAGAATTGTCAGAGTAGAAGGTTTCTTCTGAGGTTTTGCTTTTTTTTTTTCAATTTAGGATGATAAGTATTCATGTTCAAATTCTTCTAATAATTCTTTTTTGGAATTCTGATTGTCAGATTATTCCCAGGATTGAAGAATGTGGACTTTCATGTTCTCAGGTAATCTCTTACTTGTTCCTATTTGCTGTTTATTAATATAGTAGTTGTATGCTGCCAAAATAATTCTAAGAAAAGAAAGAAAGCAAAAATGGAAAGATATTTCAGCTGTCCTGAACATTCACTTTATATTTCTGTCATTCTGAATTAAGTATCCAAAATGGCAAAGATGACTGTTAGGAAGGGAGTAAGAAAATGCATCTTACACTATTTCCAAGTGCTGTTGTTAGTACCTTTTTTAATCTGTCTTTTGTATTTGAAAAAAATGATTTCGTTCATATTCATTACTTTGGAGAGTCAGTTTTTACAACAGCAGTGGTGCCAAAGAGATGAGGGACAGAGGAACGGGAGGTTTCAGAAATTGCTAATTATGTTAGGAATATACGAAACACTGACTTTCCTGTGAATAAATGAATTACGTTTGAGAAAGAGTAAAACCTGTTTTTCATTCTGTGGGATGAATGTAACTGCAGTATTAAATTTAATGACTTGTGTATGTGCATAAAAGTGGAGTGTGAACCATACCATCTCTATAATAGCTTTGAATTTTTTATATTTCCAAATATCCCCACAAAGGGGCGGTATGGAGATATTCTGCTTCTGTTGGCATTCTGAAACTGTAAGAATAGAGTAAATTGAAAGATAAATAAAAAAAGGATAAAATAATAGGGAATCTGACTTTCAGTCTTGATAGAGGATGATAACTATGTACTTGCTACAGAGAAGTGGAATTGATAGCATGAAAGAATTTGGCTGGTGGTACAGACTCCTGCTTGAAGATGTCTGTTTAGGACAGGCAATGAGACATACTAATGATTGTCTAAATGTGGTGGTACTATCCAGATATTAAGTTAGTACATGTTACAGCAATTTATTCTATATTTTATACGTGTATCCTAGAAAATATCAGGACTAAAGATGCTTATAAAATACTAGATTGAGGGGAACCCCCCCCTATATTTAAAGTTGTTTAATATTCCCGCATTCAAATTCTGTAGTCTCTATCCACTTAGATAATGTTTTTAGAATGATAAAATATAGTCATAAGAGATTAATCTTTAGATGTACCTGAGCACTTTTCAAGAATTTTTATGTATTTATGTTTATGAATGCAAACACACATGTATTTTAAATAATTTATGCTCCTTGGTCTGCTGCAACGAAAGTTTAAAATAGAAATGATTTACCGTTCTAATTTATCCTTCCAAAGACTGTATGACTATCAGACTCAGCATGTAAAAAACACTAGCAGCCTTTTTCGGTGGGATTCGGTCTAGGGGATAGGATTTACCTCTGGGGACCTTAAAGGGCATTTTTCTCTGTCATATCTTAGGTATGTTAAGAAGACTGATTCACTAGATGCCTAAGATACAGACACAACCCTGAGGCTTGGTAGACTGGATCCCGTTCTTTGCCACTGTCGTGGTTTAACCCCAGCCAGCAACTAAGCACCACACAGCTGCTTGCTCACTAGCCCCCGGTGGGATGGGGAAGAGAATCGGAAGAGTAAAAGTGGGAAAACTTGTGGGTTGAGATAAAGACAGTTTAATAGGTAAAGCAAAAGCCGCCACACAAGCAAAGCAAAACAAGGAATTCATTCACTCCTTCCCATTGGCAGGCAGGTGTTCAGCCATCTCCAGGAAAGCAGGGCTCCATCACGCGTAACAGTTACTTGGGAAGACAAACGTCATCACTCTGAACGTCCCCCCCTTCCTTCTTCTTCCCCCAGCTTTATATGCTGAGCATGACGTCGCTGGTGGGGTGGTGTGAGGAGCAGAAAAGGCCTTGACTCTGTGTAAGCACTGCTCAGCAGTAACTAAAACATCTTTCTATTATCAACACTGTTTTCAGCACAAATCCAAAACATAGCCCCATACTAGCTACTATGAAGAAAACTAACTCTGTCCCAGCCAAAACCAGCACAGCCTTCAAGAGTTTGTCTTACAACTTTTCCAATACTGAAGGTTGGATAACTGAGAAAGGTGTATTTTTTTTAATTTACAGGGGAAATACATTGTTTCCAGTATAATGGACTCAATCAATCATTTGTGATGTTAAAGATAGGACTCAGTTCATGTTCTCTATGTAATGTTTCTGCTAGTTATATTCACTAGAATCTTGAATGCATTAATGACTTTTTAAGACAAAAATGTTTTCTCACTGGGAACAATCATGATCTCAACAGGACAAATTACTGCCAGCGTAGCATTTTCAATCTAGTGCAAAGCATTTTAGCTACATAAACTTTAGAGTCTCATGACTAGCTTATTAGTGAAAACTCCTTCCTCCTTTCCCTTTGGAAGTAACTTCAATTTCCCTACATAACTGACCACAATTTGTGGCCTCAATCCCATTCCTACCTGAGTTACTTTAAAAGGGAGCAGTTTTTCTTCTCCATATTTTAAAACTCAATTGTCTTTATAGGGGCACTAACCAGGGGTTATAATTTGTCTATGTGCAATATATGTGTGCTGCCTTCTGCTACAGCATATCGGATCACAAAGTAGAGAATCAATGCCATTTTTTCTAGCAATTTGCTTAATGTGATAATGAGATATTGTAATTTTAAAATTATCAGAAGTTTTCTGTGGCTGCTATTGCTACAAGTGAGTATTACAGAAAATTGTTTTTTTCTTTATGAAGTTTTCCCATAAGTTTGTATAGCAGATTTCTCTTCTGCAGAGTCAACCCAGAGGTTGTGTGGTTCTTCATAAAGCAGTAGGGGAATGAAAAGCATTAAGTTGCATTTTTCTGCATTTTTCAAACTGTGGGTATTGTCAGAAGGTTTTGAGCAGGTTTAATAACTGAAACTGTTGAGTTTAACCAGCAAACTAGATTTTAAGATGGCTGTGTCCCTTGAATATTTGTAAGCAGTTTTGACCTCCTTAGGTACTCCTTGTCAGAGTAAAGCATTGGTTGTACTTAAGAGGGAAATAGTGACATAACTGTTTTGAGGTATGTGACTTAAAACCCCTTCACATTAAACTGTTTAGATTTTGGATCTTATTACAACTTTATGAATCGTTCTTAGTTTACCATGAGAATTCAGCAAGACATCCTTGCATTGCCTTGTATAAGGCAATATCCAGGTTTCATTACTATACCACAAACTGTACTTCTGTTCCATACAGGAAAGGAAAAAAACAAAAGAACATTGGATGTTTATGCAAGTATTACGTGAAAATTTAAACAGCATGAAAATATACAATTGTGAGTTGAGTGATGGCAAAGGAACAACCAAGCTTTTATTATGTATTATGATTTATTTCTCCTTCCTTATTTTAGTGGCTTGGCTTTAGAGCTCGCGTGATATTGTGGTATTCAAAGGTTAAATACAATGGGCTTGGTCTCCATGCCTCACCCAATAGCAAACACAGTTATCAACCAAGTTTCCCTGTAAAAGCATAGGGGAATCCCAGCCCGCAATTGAAATTGGGTTTGTGCCCTACTCATTTTACAATCCACATTGTTTGCAGGCTGTACACAAAGAAACAGGCTTACGCCAAATTTGACTCAACAGCTGGTAAAGATCAAGAGCACTACATTTAAAAAAAGCTCTTCAGAAAACTATGAAATAGTATTTGTATTGTCTGCCATTAAATGTAGTAACACTTCCAAAGTCCATGGATAAAGAAGGAAACCCTAAACTGAATCTGGGATTTCCCTGAAATTATAAAGGTTATTGGCAGCAAATTCTTGATATAGCTGCTGCCTGTTCATGCTATTCATAGTCCAAGTATGTGGTGTTTCTTTACTGGATATTTATGCCATGGATCAGCCCATTCTTGCTGAATACTACACACTGCAAAACCAGTGAAATAATACAGCCCTTAGGCCACTAACTCAGCTGACATAAATTGGCATTCTTTCTTCATTATTAAGGTAAGAAATTCATATTTTAAAAGTGATCCCAAGCCTCTAAAAAATGGACATGATAATCTAGGTGACATAATTCAGTTGTTCTCTAAAATCTGTTTGAAAAACTAGTTTTAGATATGGAAGATGTCTAAAGACTCTGATCAGAGACCTGGCTTCCTCAGAGTGAGTGAGAGAGAGAGAAGTACAGTGTGAAGTCCCAACATAGGAAGATGATTCACCACAGACGTTTTTGTGTATGCATTGATATACCTGATGACTGGAGGAGATGCATAAAAATATAAAACATATCCTCTGCTAATATTTGCTGAGATGCATTACAATCCACGAGAGCATGCCCTAGATAGAAAGCCTGGGTTTTGCATCCCTGTCTGTCATTGATTCACTTGTGTGGCCCTATTCAAGTAATTTCCTTTCTCCAGTTTTCACAAGTACAAAGTAGTGCTGACCTTCCTGTGTGATGTGTCTTAATTATGTGTTTTAATTAAGTGCTTTGAATACTATAATTAAGTGTTAAGTACTCATTAGTCAAAGCAGTCATACTTAAGGGGCTCAATCATGTTGAGTCACTGTATTAGAGTGATATTAACCCATTTGCTTAGATATCCCTGCTTGCCTCCTCTGCTGGTAGTCAGAAGAGCTGCAGTTTAGCAAGTTTAGATGACTTACCTCTTGGACTGTGTTTTAGATTTGCTCTTAGGGTCAAAAATAGCTTGGCAATGGCATGAGACACTTAGCTTCCACTTTTCCTGCTGTGTCTTATGCCACTGGTTGGGTGCCATCCCGTTTCCTCACCTCCTGAGAAGAAGACAGCCAGTGACAGGTACAAGCAGGGACTTACAAAACTCTCCAGTGTTCCTCATTATTAGAGCATCTACCACCACTTCTTTCAGGAGAGATAGAGATGGAGAAAGCTTTGCAATTCAGAACTTACAAAAAATGCAATGGTAGCTCTTGGGTTTTTTTCTTTCTCGCTTCTGCCTTCCTCAAGAACTCTGGAAAAAGGTTACAAGGTCTGGAAAGAGATAAGCCACTGGAGTAGCAAGAGCAGAGGCACTACAGACAGTAATGAAAGATGGGGGCACAAAATTAACAGATGTTGGAACTGGACCTGACGAGGTGTCCTG